TGCTAAATGTGTTATTTTGACTGAATTAAAGGTGACTATTTTATCAAAGTTGCTTCAGGAGGTGAGTGGGTAGAATCAATGCTGAGTTTCCAGTTTAACTGTCTTTTTCCTGTTTTGCTCAGCCTCAGGCACTGAGGCAAATTTCTATAAACTCATTCTTACAAGTTCCCTAGTGCATTTTAATAATTGTTAGGAAAAAAAAAACCACAGTGCTCACAAGTGTTTTTATAAGATTAAACCTATTTCCCTAAAACACAAGTTTGATGTGCTTAGAGTAGATATCCAGGCAGCTAAATCTGATCACAGTTTCCTTTTACCTAATGCATTCACTTTGAATCCAATGTATATATATGGACCTCTGCCTTGAAGTCATCTTTCCTTACTTCTCCTGAAATGGGACTATGGAGATCTTACTTGGATTTTATAGCCTATACCATACAGTAGGTCTATCCTGATTCTCAACAGTATGTCTGACATTCAGCTCCCCTAGTGAAAAAAAAAAAAAAGCATGCAAATGATCTTTGCTTAGTCCTATGTATCCCCATTCCTAATGGAACCATAGAGATGGTCATTGAGTTGAGCCTAAATGTGCAAAAATATATTGGATATAGTAGGTTGAAATATTGCCTTCTAAGCTTCTCTGTTGTCTGGAGACAAGCGTTCCCCAGTCTCCTCCTATTCCACTTCCCACTTCTCCTAGGTCATCACTGAACTATTCTTTATTTTGTGTGTTTTCCATGTTAGGTGTGTTTAGAGTTTGGATTCACAAGAAAAGTATGTGAAGCAGCAGTCAAAATCAAATGATACTAACCTCATTAACTGCTTACCATATGTCATATATTTTTCTAAATATTTTACATGTGTTAGTTCATTTAATTCTTGTAATTCTCTAGTAATCGTATGAACTACCCCTTTACCTCCCATTTTGCAAATAAGGAAATTAACAGACAGTTTATTTTTTTTAAAACCAGGCTTTATCTTCCAATTTGTCAAACATTACCCATTTTAAGATGGCAAGGACTATTTCTACATTAGTATATTATATGAACATTCATTCTGCTCTTTCCAATCCATTGACTGGTTGCACTTTTAGTATTTTTTTTTTGGCTCTTTTGTGGTCTTATGTAATTTGTAGATGACTTTTCATAACATTCTTAACATTTGTAAACTTACTGTGCACTCTTACTGGTCTCTTTAATTTGTGCTTTTTTTTTTCCTCACAATGAAAAAGTTAATAAAAAATGTAATGCTTTCTACCCTGTTGAGTCATATTTCCTTTCCAGAGGCTTTTGCTTTAAGGTTACCTTAAACTCTAATTTGAAACAAATGTTTGAAAATGTCCAGAATTTTATCCTGAATTTCATTATAAAAATGAAATCTCTATCCCAGTTATATCAAAAGTCCAATAAGATGTGATCAGCTGTGAATTATTTTTTTGTTCATTGTAGTAGTGTTTAATGATTCCATTGAATCAGGAAACTTCTCTTTCAGGCTGGAGAATTCTTCCTCTTTTCTGTAATAATATCACAACTTTGAATCTTCTTTACTCTTTCTTTCTGAACTTTTTAGCAGCCAACTCTTTGCTATTTGTATAAATAACTATGTATATTTTTTTCTTTCTCCTGTCTTTATTATACTTCCTTTGAGTTGGGAAGTCTCTGGTATGTTTCCTTTAAAATGCACACTGATGAGGTGAAGTAATTTACCTACTGGGGATGGTGGTGAAAAGATTCTTTTCTCACAGGTATTCTTACATGAATCCATTTTTCACCCACTCTGCCTCACCTCATGTTCCTAGATTCCTCACATCTCAGGGAGGGTGCTCCAGGATGAATCTTCTAGCAGCTTGTTAGATTCTTCTTCTACAGACATTGGGGTTTGACTTGCCTGTTCGGTGACTTATAATCATTTAATATGGTTTCCATCATCCTATGTTGTGTTTTGGATTTACATGTCTTTATTCACTTTGTTGAAGATGGAGTTGTCATTTCCTACTGTCCTTGAAATTTGTAGAGGGATTCTAAAGTCAAGGTTGTCAAAATGATAAGAGATGAATCATTTTTAGTTGATTGTTTTTGTTAGGCTTTTTTTTTTATCTTTGGGGCTTGGTCCATGCTAGCTATTCCTTCTTCTTAACCTCTTTACAATCCCTTTTAATTCTCCATCATAACAGTAATCACAGTAGGTGGTTATTGTCTAGATGCTTGCCAGAACACAAATGTGTAGACCTCAGGAGAACAAAAACCCTCCTCTATTTGCTTTGTCTCCGCTGGCACATTGGCACTCAATAAATGTATGTTGAAAGGATAAATGTGTTTTTTGTGACCCAGCAATGTGGTCCAACAGAAGTAGAGAGGAGTAAGGTTGATGACTCTGGGCAGGATTTCTGTCATGTCTTGGATTCACACTCCAGAAAGACAGCCTAGGAGTCAATTAGCCATGCCATCTCCGCATATGGCTATCACCATATGCCTCAACTGAAAGTCACCAGACACAAATAGAGCATCATTTCTTCCCAGAATTGTAGCCATATTTGTGCATCTGTTAATGCTCATAGATATTATAGTGTTCATTGTCATTTTGTAGAGTGTCCTAATTATACCTCTAGAGGATCATCATAAGTATTATTTCACTGTGAAATTTCTCTCATCCTTTTCATTTTTCTTACCAATGTCTTATTATTTTTTTCAATGTCCCCTTCTGCCTCCTCAGAATCCTTTCCCTCCTCTCATTACCTTTCTGGAGTATTTTTCCTATGCAGTGTAAGAATCTTGCATACTCTTCTGTAAACTATTGTTTCCTGTAAATGCTTTCCTTCCCTTTTTTTTACCTATCCAGGAGACCAGCCTCCATCTATGGCATTTGGAATTGGAAAAGGCCACAAGTAGGAAGAGAACATAGTACATCCTCTAACCCCAGGATTAGTTTCACTTGTGTCTATGTAAATGCTATTGGTCATGTTGGTTCAGTCATTCCTGCCCTGACTTTCTACTGTCCTTACTGTACTTGTGAAAGTATGCTTATAGAATAAATCTTATTTCTTCAATAAATAGGCTAGCACACACAACCTGGCAGATCCACACCAGAAACTGGAATAATTCTCTCTCACCTCTAGCCCTCTATTTAACTGTGTCTACTCACTAGGATTTCTAGTGGGTCACCTTTTCTTTCTGCAAGATAGGATTCTGCAAACTATAAAAAGCTCTCTCCTTGGCACCTTTCTCATTTTAGACTCGAGCACCTTTAAATTTTCCATTTTCACACTTTGAAAGCTGAGTCTGAAAAAAAAATAGAAGGATTTACAATGGCCCTCTGCTGCTATTTCATTGTCTTGTATCATTAAAAATGAGGCTGTAACTCACAAGGATGCATGGATTTCCCCTTTGGCACATTCATCTGCTGCAAGTCATCACTGAGTGAGGGTACGTACGGACAGGACTTTTCTCAATGATTTCAACCTGCTGTTAGAAGGCTTCCACGCTGGCTTCTAAATAGACTCACAGATTAATTAAAGATTTATCCTTCATGACATTGTTCTCATTTCTCTCCACCAAACAGGAAATGAGTTGACGCAAAGAGAAACCTGACTAGTTAACAGTTATTATGTTTTTGGATACAAAGAAACCATCTTCCTTGCCCCAAATGGTGATGTGTTTGTTGTTTAGGGAATGCATGGCATCACTCATTTCCACAGTCCATAAACAAGAGAACCATAATAAACAAGCAGAATAATGTATTTGCCTCTTGCATAACATCTTCAGATTAAAGAAGCTGGCATTCGTCCTTCCCCTCTAGGGCCTTTGCCCATCAAGGCCATTAGCCAAACTGATGCTGATGCACCAGAAAGAAAACAAAGAAGCCCCAAGTGCTGCCTGTTCTGCTTTGAGCCAGTTCTTAAGTGCCACAAGCTTGCAAAAAAAATAATAATAATAATAATATCTTCCTGATCCCTACAGTGTGGAGTTTATTTGCTGAAGCGTGAGATTTGATTCCTTTTATTTCTCCAAGAACCACTGATACACTATGTCAGAAGTGGACTTGGGCTCTTTTTAAAGAGGCAAGCAAGATTTTTAAAGATGTTCATTTTCCAGGGTGATTATTTACCAGGTGGCATGGGGTTTTCCTTCTCCTTGCATGTTGTTGGCTGTGTAGACTGATTTTGTTCTACTAGTATTCATCCATATAATGCTGCTTTTCTTAGCATTGTTTTGGAGGCTGGAGTTAAAAAGCATTATTCATGCACAAGAAATGTGAAGCAATGTCTTCACATAACAAACTTTCTACTTGTTCTTCTAGGATCTATATTATATCAGGAGGGAGATGATTTTAAAGAATCTGTTTTTTCACTCTCAATTTATAGTTTAACATGAATGATACATACCTAAATAATTTTGGAAGTCATAAAAGATGTTACAAATAATTGGAGCTCACTGGTGGTGGCATACATGGTTAAGATATGTAAGTTAGCTTTAACTAAATAATTTGAAAAATCTTATTGGGATCCTAGAGAAACCTAACTGGCCTGCTGATCTCTTTAACAAAAAAGCATTTTGGAAGCTATCTGGTAAATTCTGTCACAACCACTTTCTCAAAGTCTTTTTTCAGTTTTTGAAATCCAGATGACATTTTTGTTTTTTTGTTTTTGTGGTCCTGTGATTTAAACCCAGGGCAGCACGCATGCTAGGCAAGCGCTCTAACACTAAACTTCACTCCCAGTCCAACAAAACACTTTTTGAGGCACTGATGATATGGTTGACACTTAGGTTTTCTCATATGTTAAACTTAATCCATTTCACTTTTACTTTTATGTCTGCCTCCTTTCTTAAAATCTTCAGCAACAAGAATTTTCCTCTTGCACTGTAGTTTATTAATGTTCAGAACCAAGTCAACTATTTCTCATATAAAATTTGAGTAGCAACTTTTAATAAATGCATTAACATAAACGATTCCCTCTTACCTACTCGATGACTATATGTAGTATTTTTATATCTGTCCCATAGGTGAAGAACCTGACCCTGGAAAGGACAAGGTAACCTGCCTAAAGGTGTTCATCTCTCATCCCAAAATCAATAGGGGTTGAAACCTAATCTTTCTAACTTTGTTTAATGGGTAACAGAAAACAGTTTCTGGATTCTTCACTAGTTTTATCATCATCTTCTGGTGACATCTACCACTCTCAACTTCTAGCAATACTACTTACAAAGTCAAGCTCTCAGGTATTCTTACCCAGTGAAGAATTTAGTGAAATGATCGCTGCCCTGAATGGAGAATGACACTGTCATTAGTCTAAGATCATATTTTTTCCTTAGACTTGCTTGCATTGTTGACTCGTGCTGAACCTATAAACAGCTCAGACCTTACTATCTGAGACTACTAGCAATTCATGACTCCACTTTGATGAAATTGCACAATAAACTCAAATGTATATTCCAGAAAAATACTTTAAGTGTATTCTCCTAATATTTCTAATTGTTTTTTTTTTTAATATTGGTTCTATATTTTGGGATTATGGTGCAACTGAAATGACAAGCTCTTTTATTTGGCATTTAAGAATCAAGAACATTTTCCAGTTGGTAACAAATTTATCTTCCCCTTTTCATATTTAATATTCATTCTCACCAAGGGTTTAGTGAGTAATTGCAAATTATATTTTATCAAGCTTTCAGTGCCTTAGGCAGAATAAAATGTTGGGAAATTTGGGGTACTCTAAAAGTGATAGACACATAATTGGTTGGTAGCAGTCCTAAGCTGTATTGCTCAGGATTCTAGCTACTCTGCCTATGTGTATAATGACCACGTAGATGAAGATGTATAACTGAGATCGCAATGAATCAGATACAGGTGATAATCATAGGATAAATTAAATAAAATATACAAATAAGTGACCTCTATGCAAAATGGTTCATTATTGGGTTCATCTTGAGAGGCAATCTAAATTATTAGAAATAAGGTGCCCTGTACTTTGTTTCAAAACTATTCAGTGACATGAGATAGTGGTGATGTGAAAATAAATGTTTTCAATTGACTGGACTATTTCAATACTTTAAGTGTTCTTTGTTTAAATTTTGTTTTCTTTGATGTCTTATTAAAATCTTTTTTTTGAAAAGTCTGCCTGTTTTAACTCTGCTAAGAAATTGGGCTGAGGCATGAGTAACCTTCTCAGAACCAGGTCTTGCACAGTCTGTGGAGAAAGAAATGAGACCATTTTAAGGGGAACTGAAATGCAGGAAAGTTAAGAACACTTGGGTGATGACCTCTCTTGGAAAACCTCCTCTTGGAAAATTTCCTGGGAAGGTCAGATTTAGCTTCACAAAAGGGAGGATTTTATACATGAAATTAAATTACAGAGATAAACTTTTGAGAAATTACTATCATTCATGAATTATAGCTAGTATTCAGAATCTAGTAATTATTACCATTCTTTTGGCTCCTTAATTTGATTGCCTATTGCTGGCTATGGTGAGCATCTGATAACAATGGATACTGACTCCAATCTTTCTTCAGAGCAAAGTTTACCACCCATTACCTTTATTCAGTTAGTGGTCCCCCAAGTGGCCAACTTGTCTAAAAATGAATGAATACAAAAATGTACTGATCACTTCTTCTTCTCCTTTTTTTTTAAAAAAAAATAATCACTCTTAAAGACTAAATGATTGTCAGCGCATACAAGCAAAAAAAAAAAAAATGTCCTATAGAGTGTTAATTGTAGATAGAAAACCAGTCCTGACAACTGTGGCTGGAATTGAGAACACCTAAGTGTTTGTGGATCAGCCATACCTCCTATTGGTTCCGCTAATTGCCAGGACAGGACTTAAGGTGTCAGTAGGGGAGCATTGATTCTGCACTTGGAGTACATCAGGATGTTTGAAAGCAGCATGAGATCCAAATTCAGATGTTGCCTAATAGGTGATTTGGACATATGCCAGTCCTCTTTCTTAGCTACTCCAGAAGAGCAGCTGACTCTAGCCCAGCTCCAGATGAACCAGTAATAGGTCCATTATGTGTTTTGCAGCAACAAACATTCCCAAAGGAAAACTTGACATATTAACCATGTGATGAATCATCCTAAACCTGAAATGTCATATCTCTCCAGAAGAGGTAAATGCTGTGTAATTCTCTACTGGATCATTCATCAATTCTTGGCCACTATCCTCGAGAGATTAGGTTCCAGAGGATAGAAGATATGATATAAATTTGAAATATTTAAAATAACATATATTAAGAAAACTATAGCAACAAAGAAGTTTACTTAATGAGCACTCTCAGGTGGTATTTTAAAACTTACTCAAATGTGAGTGTTGGTTTGTGAACCAGGTACAGTTACTATAATTGATAATTTTGTCTATGAATTAGCATCTCTTTGTTTATTATTTGTTTTGTTCAATATACATTCCTAATGATGGCTATTATTTCTGTATAGTTGGTATTTTACATACAAATAAACTAAAATATTCCAGTTGGAATAAATTATGATTGCAGAAAGGAGCTATTAAATTTCAGTGTGATAGTCTGTTACATCAGCCATGGAATTTAGATATCATTACCTCTGATTCCTTCATTTTCTCAGTAAGTAAATCACCATATAGGTTTGAAATGATTTTCCAGAGTTATGAAACCCATGAATAGTAAAACCAGAATTCACACTATGTTTTCTTAATTACTTATGTATAAAATTTAAACTCATGGGAAAATGTCAGATTCCCTGATAGTATTTACATGGTGAAATGGTTCAGGAGCACTGACTTTGCACTATATCTCTTACCTGATAAGTTACTTACATTATCTGAGCCTTATTTACCTCATTTTTGTATTTTATAAATATACAAAAAATAGTTTCCATCCTAGAATGATGTTTCAAGAAGTAAAGTAAAATGATTCTATAGTGTCTGGCTTTAGATTTGTCCTTCCTTCTTACTTCTTTACCTAGTCTTAGGATATATAGATTTGATAAACAAACATAATCTTCATCCAAAATCATAAATCCACCTGAGAAAGTCTAATATTTATTTATTTGCTTATTCATTCAACAATTATCTAATGTTCATACAATTTGTAATCTGAGATGGAAAATAAATCTTTATGCACAGGAAATTGCTTTTCAAAGATGCCAAGTAAAAATGCAGCACAGAAATTCTCTACTATAACAACATATAGTATAAGATTGGGGTGAGTGCATTGCTTATGGGTCATACTGCCTGTTTTTGAAACACGGCCCAGCCACTCAGCAGCTTTGTTAACTTACGTAATTACTCAACTGCTCTGGGCCTCAGTGTGTTGACTGCAGTCTATAGATAGTTTCTACCTCACAGAGTTCTGAGGTCTTAATCATTATTCCATGCAAATTGCATGCACTAAATGTTCAATAAATGCTTCCCTTATATTACTTTAATTTTTACATTACGTACTTACTATAAGGTATATTTATTATGCAAGTATAATTAGTAAATAATACTTAGTAAACAATCAATGTTTACTGTCAATAGCACTGATTATTATTTCCATGCAGATCAAAATGTGAATATGTATAAGAGAGATAGTCTGTGTGCATAGGTTGATTATCCCAGCCATTGAAAGGGCTAAAGATAGACACTCTTTGCAATTTACTCAAAAGTATACAAGTAACCTCAAAACATCCAAAGACTGGACTCCTTAGTAGGAAATACCACAAGATCAGGAAGTAGGTATCAGGGGAGAAAGGGAATTATGTGAGGAGAATCACAGTTGGGACAAGGATTAGGGATAGAACTGTGATGGATGATGAATACAAATAGATGAAAGCAAATATGCAAAAAAATACGTTTTTTTTTAAGGAAAATTTACTTGAACATTTTTTTTTAATTAAACTGTTCAGGAGTAGGTTTATGCCAAAATTCATTTATTTTCTATTTACTTATCCATCAGATATTCATTAAGAGCAAGACTGTGAGGATAAAGTTCTATAAAAACAAGCATGGAACATGCTTTAAAATGGCTTACAGTTTTGTGGGACCAGTGCTTCTTAGTACTCACTCCTAAGCTTTCCATGTCTTTAATTTCTGTGCTTATATCCAATTTAGTTGAATTTAGCATCTAATATCAGACATTAACTTTATGCCATAAAATATAGTGTCATATGTATTTAAAATGAGAGAAATAGAAACATTTAAAGTGAAAACTTTTACAAATATTTCAGGCAGATTCACAAATAAATTTTTTTATTTGACATTTTTTACAAATCACTTTCATATTGTCCCTGAGAAAATTCTATAAGAAGAGCTTACAAATGAGTTTTAATATATTTTATTAAAAGGTCATATAAGGATTTTCATGCATGTGAATTTATTTAAGAGGCATTTTGTATTAAACAAACTGAGATATTAGTATAAATTTACTTTACTGTCCCATAGGAACATTTTACACAGTGGTAGTTTGTGGCTATGATATTTATGGAAGTCAATGTAAACACTGGGGGAGAAAATATTTACTTTAAATAAGGCAACATTATGAGAAACATGATGAATATGTACTACCCAAAACATTAGCTTCTGGAAAGTTTTATGAGAACTGGAATCTTTGAATATCACAACTACCCAATTACTAGCAGACAAGTAAATATTTAGAGAAAAAAAATGTGTCTTGTGCATATACATTTCTTTTCATTTCATAATATTCCCCTCCTTTGTATTCCCAAATTAGTAATAAAATTGCAAGTTACTTAAAGAAGCCTTTGACTCAAATACAGGAAAACATAATATCAGATTGTAAGTGTACCTGTATTTCACCAAGAGACCAGGGTTTTTACTTTTGTATTTTATTTCTATCGATATTTCCCCAGTAAACAATTAATGATTCCTTTAAAAAAATATCAATCATGTTGAACAACATAGTGATATTTATCAATTTTGTATATATATGTATGTGCACACATATATACACATAAATATATACAAATACATGTTATTTTATCACTAAAATAATCTTTTAAAATTAGTTTCAAATTCATGCAACTTTATGAAATATTATTGTGACCTTGTGAAAATTATTATATCCTCCATAAATGTTTTTTTTCCTCAAATTAAAGTGGTTTGGTACTTAATGATTATGATTTTTGAAACATTTAATTTGATTTAAAACCTTGCTAGAATTCTTTTCACACATAATAAGTTTACATCTCTGAAGGTCATTAACTTTTAGGTTTATCAATACATATATTTAATGGTTCCACAAGTCCATTGAACAAAAACAATATTGAATAAAAAGAAATTTTGTAAGTCAACATACATACACCTCCTATGTATCTGGCTGGTGAACTCTGATGAAAGCTTGTTTTTATTTTCAACCGAGAAGAAAAATTTCTTTGAGCACCTTCAAGGAAGTGAAAATTCAAGACACCTTAAAACTAA